TTCAGTGTTCAATTTCCCAACCACACTATGCTATATGTTTAGTTTACGTGTGATACTGTGGGTTTCGTAACCAGAGCACAGTATGTGAAGTGGCTGATTAAATTTGCAGCAGTTACTTAGATTTTCTTTCTCCTTAGTAGCATCTCTGTGTGGCCTGCAGGAGACAGGGGTTGATTTGTACTATCACATGCTTCCCCAGCATATCAGTATCAAACAGAGCTTAGCCAGAAACCTAATTGTGTTTTCATTCTGGTGTCATTTCTGACCGGTGTTTTTTCTGGGCTCCGGTCTGTTAAAACTGTTCACAGCGTGTCCCATTATTCGTGCACTGAAGCCCTCCCTCTGATCCTGACATCCCATCACCTTGACCTTTTACAGGAGACTGAACATCCCTGAGGGGAGCTAAATAAAAGGCCACCGCTGTGTTTCCCACTGATGTGATATCAGTGTTTTTTTTCTTTGGAGAGAGAGGGGGGATTTGCTGTTGCATTCCCGGAGTATGAAGCCCAATACATCTCGGAGCATCACCTGTGAGAGGCTGTCAGAATGCATAAAGGGGGAAGGGAGACTTCCTCGTCCCCTTCCCACCCCAAGGACAGCATGGGGGGTGGCGGCAGAGGAGCACTGCTAGAGAGCAACACCTGTCAGGTGAGGCTTTCTCAGTTGACGGCACAGAAGGAGCTGCGACTCGACTGCTAATCTCTGACGTGGCAACCTGCCGGGCGCTGCCAGCCTCCAGAGGGAGAGCGCCAGGAGCCCCGAGCGCGAAGCTTTTCCTGGGCTGCAGTCCTGCTAATGTCTCCCCGAACAGAATGAACCACGCTGATATGCTCTAAATACATTTCATTATCATCATCATGATTATATCACTAATTGTGTGTACTCGGTAATGTGCTGCAGCAGCCCCCTCCTGGGAGGTGTCTGAAAGACTGAATGATTAAAACATGTATGATGAACCATGCATCAAAACGTCCCTGCGGGCTTCCTCACAAGATACATGTAAGCGGCTCCACTGACACTCGGAGCCAGCGAGCAGCAGAGGATGAGGTCTGCTGAGGGTTGAAAGGCTGAGGAGGAACCTGCAGGCAATAACAAGACAGCAGGTGGATATTAGAGATGCAGGGGATTGACCTGAGCTGACCCCATCCATATCCATAAACCCACACTACATAACCTATATGCCTTCAGACATGACTCCAGCGCAGCCTAAATAATTCCACAATGAGTGAAGAAAAGGCTGAGGATCAAATCATGGCTGGGCTTCTTTGGCCTGCGCGGGGGACTGTTTCCATCTTTATGTGTGGTTGACAGGAGAGGATAAAGTTTTTGTGACAGCATTTGATGAATGTTTAATCCAACATTCATACAATCCCGGTCTGGGATTGGGTCCCTAGTCAAAACCCACCAAAGACACACAGCAGGTGTGTAAAATATTCATCCACTACACGCTTCATTAAGAATGAAACATACCATGGTCCCCGTTCATTTATTCATTTCGATTATCGAAACAAAAGACAGAAAAATGGGAGATTAAAACATGGTGGGCGCGCTATTCTATATTTGTCTCGCAGATTTGTAACAATTTGTTTTGTGACAAATAACTCTGCCTGTTGAAATCCCGCTGTCGTCTTGCTGGGAGTCAGGCAGCTACTGCGAGAGGAGCTTTCATGTGAGGCCTGTAACAAATCACTGTCTGCCTGGGACTCTGCGGCGCTGCATCCGACTGCAGCAGTTTGACCTGTGACCGGTCCAGGAGCGTCCGGCGACTCGTCGCACAAAGCATGCTGCTACACATCCCAGCCATCAGCTGCCGACGGGACAGATTTCATATTTTTATTAATTAATGACAATTAATGATGTCTCCTGGCGACGAGTGACCGCGCTCAGATGGATGAAATGACTAATGTCGAGCCTGTCAGCGATTGGACTCATTCTTTTCTGTTTTTTACATTTTTTTTTGCTTCTCAGAGCGGTGAATGTGTCGTCGTGGAGTGCCAGTGCCGTTTCAACTCACTCCTTCCCTTTTTGAATGAATGTGTCACACAGATGACAAAATTTCCCCACGGAGATCATTAAACATTCATCTAATCTAATCTAATTAAAATATGGATGTGCAAGTCCTGACACGCTGTCCAAGGCTGCGAGTCAAACCACCAGTCTACATAAAACAGATAAATGAAATTAGACTCGGATTAGAAATTTAAAGCCTTTTTATAAAGAAACAAACATGTCAGCAGGGTTGCCATGTACAGTTACAAATGTGTTGTAGATTTAGCGATAAACATCCGCAATTAAAGGTTATATTTTATTCACTGCTGATTTTCTGACAAGGTTAAAAGTCCAAAAACGCAACAATCACCGTTTATATGTGGTTGATAGTTTTACATGCTGTCAGATTATTTATTCCTTGTTTGTTGTTTGATAAACAAGCTCAGCCTGTTTAGTGTTGAGGTAAACATTGGTAAAGACATTTAGACAGGTTTGATTGAGGAGACACAGATGAAAATGACATGGATGGATCTTTATAATTTATATTTTTGGTCATGTTGGCAGCTGTGTCTTCTTTAGAATAATGTACAGTCAGGTGTGCACAATGATAATATGAAATATAAGCGGGAGAAGATGGATGGATGGATGGATGGATGGTTTGGCATCTTTTTGTCCTGTCTGTGTGCGCTGGAAACGAAGTCCACAGCTTTGTAGATGGGAAACAAAGAAAATGTTTAGAGACTGATCATCCAACATTATTCCAGCATGTCCTGTGCACGTTTGAACTCATGCACGTTCATGCTGGTGCAAGTAGGGAAGGTAAATCTGATGCATGCTAGCTATCTGCATATGTGAAATATTGCCAGGTTCTCTGTTATATTTGTAAGGTCTATACCTTACTTTATTAAGTGCTGTGTGATAACATGTTGTAAACTGCACTATACAAATAAAATTGAATTAAATTGAACTGCAGGGGTCACATTTAAGATGAAGTCTGCTTTGTGAAATCAAAGATTAGGATGTTTTTGTGCAGCTTAACCCTTTTTTCTCTTCACGGATTGTTTAAATTTAGGAAGATTTAAAGGTAATGTGTTAGAAGAGAAGAAAAAATCACCGAACAATGAGATAAAACATAATTTTTATCATATTTTGTGACATTTGTATAAGTTTTCAGACACTTTACTCTAATAGAAGTACCACAACAGCAATTTAAAACAGTTTATACTTGTAGTTTTTAAGCCCTTTTATGTTTCTTCATTTCTCGCTCAAGTTGATGCCATGCTTTTATTACCTTTATTTTATTTTATTTTTTAATCTAGACTATGGTTTGTTTTTAGTATCAGCTTTTTGAATAGTTTGCTTTTTGCTCCTTTATCGGTCGTTTGTGTCTGTATTTTGGTCCTCAATTCATCAAACTTGGACAAACAGTACATCAGTGGCAGAAGCAAAATGTAGTTAAAGGATTAAAGTAAATGTTGTGGTTTGATTCCTCTGATTGATATATAATTAAAAAAGGCGTCATTAGAGTATTAATGGTGAAGCATCAGAGTGTCAGCAGCATGTTACTGCTACTGCGCTACTTGTTTGAACTATTTTATATCAGTTTCCTGATGATTAGTATGAGGAAAGAAGAAAAAGTTCTGATTCAGATAACTGTTTCCAGTTTGTGGTGAGATACACGATCATTTGAACATTTCTTATATTTCAACCTTGTGAGGAGTTTAGAGGCAAAAGTCACAATTTGTTAAAACTAAAAAAAAAAAAATTTGGAGAACTAATTTACAGATAATGACACTAAAGATAAAAGTAGTGAAGTAGAAAGTACAAAGTAGTATGTAATGGAAATAGTCAAGTACAAGATTCTCATAATTCTACACTTGAGTGCAATACTTGAGTAAATGTACTTAGTTACTTTCTACTGCTGTCTTTAGCCTTTGGTGACCTTGCAGATGATACTGGAAACTGTAATCCCTCGATGAAATTATTAATATCGGACAAGTAAGAGATGATTTTGTGCATCTGCAGCTTAATGGCTTCACTGAGGGACTCTTTGCAGAGATGAAGTCTATCTTGATCACTGAACGCTCTGTGTTTAGGTTTAATGAAACGCATTGATCTAGTGTCAAACTAACGTGTCGTGGCTTCCATCGAATAACTGGTGTTTACTTTGCAGCAGGAATCCACCTCTGGTATGTCACTTTACCAGCAGTTAAATAAAAATCTTCCAATTGAAAAGAAAATGTACTTATTACACTGCCAAGATGACTTTTTACTTATAATAAAATACAGTGTGACAAAGTATGAAAGATAATTAGGTGATTTCTGGAGAACATTTAGCCATTACTTAAAAATATTTTTGCTATATGTTATTATATATTGTAGTAACAACTCTTTTTTTTAAATCCAATCATCTTAGTAAAAATACTTTTTAACGATAAATATTTTGAACAATTTTGTTAACAATTTGCTGTTATTTTACACATTTCCTGTTTTGTTGAATTATAGATAATAACTAATCAAATCACAAAAAAGAAGTATTCATTGACATGTTAGCCATAAAAAAAAACTAACTTGTGAATTTTTTAAACAAATTATAATTTATTCTATTACAAGATTTCACCAAATTGCTCTTCTCTTTACTACAGTCAAATAAGCAAAAAATAATAATATATAACAACAATAATTTTTACACATATTTGCTGTTATTAAAAAAAGTAAATTGTGTGTTTAGAATTAAAAGATGGTAATAAATTTTAAAACAATAAGTTTTTATTGTTTATATTTTAATTACTGACCATAAATAAAATGACATTAAATTTAATTAAATTAAATTAAATAACACAAATATTATTTTCTGGTGGAGAGTACTTAATTTTAAATGTTCTGCATGAAGTCGAGAAACGAGCATAAGAAAAATGTAAATACTGTCACTGACTTGCTGATGTCTCACAGTGGAGGACTGAAACCAGAACAGGAAGTCCCGCCTCCCACTGCCCTGACGTCACGTCCCGCGCACTGGAAACATGGCGGCTGCCAGTCCGTGCGATTCTTCGCGCTCGGTGCCCACAAATGTAACCATAAAGACTGAGCCAGAAACCGAGGACGGGCTACTCTTCGGCTCGGAGGTTGTGCCGGTTAAGCGGGACCCCGTGGTCCCCCTCATGGCGCCGGTGAGCGGCCTGCAGCCCCTCTCCTGGTCGCAGGACCACCGCCTGGCCGTGTGCACCTCCAGCTCCCTGTCGGTGATGGAGCTGGTGTGCGATGTACACAGCAACAAGCAGGACCTGACGCTGCACAGGACCTCCATCCCCGTCCCGACAGAAGCCCACAAACTGAGGGTAAGCAACCATGTTTAGTGTAAACTTAATAAAATAGAAATCTGAACCCGTTTAGTTCTGGAACTTTAGCTTATCCAGTTTGGCTGTTCGATAGAAATTCAGAAGCAGTTAAGCAGGAAAACCCTGAGACTGACAGCTCCACTTGTCCCTGGGTGCAACGAAGTCACATGCTGCAAAATGTTGTTTTAGGGACAACTTCCTCTGCAGACAGCTAAACCTGTTAGCCAAACTCCAAATTAAATGAAAGACCTGAACTCTTTCCCCCTACAGTGAACAGTTCTGGTGGCTCTTATGCTCTTGAGGGGGTTTCACTGGCATAGTTTGGGTCCACTTGTCCCTTTAGAGGGAAGGTTCACTGCAAAGCAATACAAAAGTTGCTCTGAATTGTTCTATATCTACAGAGTGTAATGAAGCTGCTGGTTCTCTTGTTCCACTTGTGAGTTGGATACTGCTGCTGTCTGACGCTGCAGGTATCTAATAAAAGCACAGGAAACAGTCCTAAAGAGCTGGAGGGAACAAACTTCAGCTCTTTAGGGGGAAAAAACACTCTGATTACATGAATTTTTGATGTTTTTGATTTGTTGATGTCAGTGGTTAGTGTCCATTTTTATCGCAGTAAAGTTTTATTATTATTATTATGGACATTTCATTTTGTAGCCTAATAGATTTCAAGTTGTAGAGCAAAGTGAGTGAGAAAGGCGTGCTATATAATAAACGTCTCTGGGATTGTTTTGGGATCAATATTGGTGCTGAAATGTGAAAAAAAAACACCTCTACATCACTTCACAGGAGTCAAAGTACCGCTGCTTGTGTCTATCCGTTAATATGAAGTGATACAGAAATGTTCCTAGGCCCGACCAAGTATAATTATTTTTAGTTTTTAGCTTTGTGTTGGTTTTTCCTTTAATTTGTCACTCGTCTGTACACCGAAACACTTTGAGGGAAGTCCCATCAGTTTTCAAATTTCACACTAAACATAGTTCCCCGTGAACACGTAACTCTCATTAAATGTTTGTCAGTTGCACCCAGTTTCTATCCTTCACAAAATACTGAGAGATGTCAGCCCAAGTTATAAAGGGAGCTAATTCATAAAAAAGACATGAGATGAATGAAACAGAGCTTTGTGTTTGGTGTGCGCATTGTTGATTGGATTAATTGACAAAGCAGTCAGTCTATAGAATGTAAACTAATAAAAAAGTGAACATCACAGAGTCAAAGGTGATTTCAAATTGCATGTTTTCAGCAGTACGAACATAAAGAAATAGAAATTAAGCACCGTAAAACATAGAAAACAGCATTTTATCTCATCCAAGAAGCTGCTGGAACCAGTGAAGATTGAAGCATTTTTGCTTGACAGTTGATTTACATGACAAATTGATCGCTGCAATATAGTTACACCATGTGATGATTTTATTTTTAGTGTCATATTAACATTATGACTCATTTTAGCACCAATAATCTTCAATAAAGTATTTTTTTATAGTGCCAGTAAAAGCCATCCCTTAAATTTCTTCTACCTGGCCTGAGATCTTTATGGTTTTACTGAGCTGTCACAATGTTTAATGCTGAGATGGGCTTTGTTGAGATTGTTGAGTTGAAAACCTGTTTAGTTTAACCATTTCAGAACAGAAATAAAGCCTTATTTTAGTCACAGGTGGTAAGATTAGTGGCATCAGTCTGCTCCTGTCTTTAAATGAAATGACAACTTTGCTATTCTGGACATGATATAATATTGTCTCATTTGGTGCACTGTTAGGATCTTGTTATCAGTGGGGCATTCATTGGCTAATTTACTTCCCAGCATAAATAAAAATACCAGTCTGCTATTAGTTTATGCTGCTGTTATGGATAAAAAACAATGACAATCTTACAAATTGAGTGACAGTCCTGGGGATTACCCTTGTTAAGTTTCATATTTTTGTCGTCTTTAATGATAAAAAGTTTGTTTAGTTCAAATATCAGCTGCATTTTGTTGGCAACCTCCTTAACTTTTACTGCTTATGTGCCTGTGAGCCTTTTCTTTACTTTACTGCAGTAGTGCGCTACATGTGCTTTGGTCTGAGCAAGCACAGTGTTCATCTGTCAAATCAAGTCATTAGTCGCAGATCTTTAGCACAACGTGATTGTATTTTCAGCATAATGCTAATACAAGGTATTTCCACTCATATGCAGGTGATTGCAAAATGCCATCTCTAAGTGTTTGGTAGTATTTGATTATAAAATAATAGAAACAGCAGGAGTAAGGCAGATTTATTACCTGTTCAAAACCATACTATCACTACTCAGGCACTTTAACTCCCCTAGTTGCTGCCAGCGGGGAAAGTTATACCAAATTTGACACTGGTTTGACCTCCTTTTGCTTCATCCAGACTGTTTTGGCCGTAACCTTTTCTACTGCTGCCTCTCTTTTCTTGTTTTGTGCAGCGGCGCCTCCAGAATTTTTTTACAGGGGTTGCAAGATGGCAACGCTGAAAATTTTGGGGTGGCACATCACAACTAAAAGACGCTGCTGAATTATTTATTGTGCTGTTGTCGTGTAGAGGTATACACAGGATATGTTTGCTATCTTAGATAGGAAATGCTATGCTAATGTACATTGGTTTCTTATTTTGCAGTTAATGTTGCTAATTGTCCAAAGTGCATAAGCTAATAGCGGTAGAGTTAACATTTAGACTTTTTGGTGCCTGCTGCTCAAAACGGCCCACAAGAGGAGATGCTGCGATTTATCTGAGGTAAAAAGTTCACTTATATGCATCATAAACTTGGGACATTTTTAGAAGTAGCCATGAATAAAGAAACACATCCAGAGCTTTTTTTAAATGATTTCAATACTGAAAATTCTGTTCATGTGTGAAGATAACCTATGATATACTAAAATAATATGATAAGCTAACCTTTAGTACAATAAAATGTGTTTTTTAAATTGTTAGTCAACTACCTGTTGGTTGTGATTAGAGATGATGAAACACATCCATACACTCCATAATGTCGCTGGTGCAAATATCCTGCTGTGAAATCTTTTGACTTTTTAATAAGTGGATCAAACTTTTTCAGTAAAATAATATTAAATGTAGCTGAGTTCAGGACTCAGCTGTGCAAGAAATGATTTAACTGTAGCAGACTGTACAGCAGCTCACCTGTCTGAGGTAGAGAAAAGTACATTAAAGTGTCATTTATCGTTAGAATCTGACCGGTCCTGTCTCCATGTTGGGGATCATTTATAATTACAAGCAGTAAATAAAGCTGTGCACCTAAAAGAGGACACTTCTCTCTCTTTGGAGACGCTCGTATGGATTCTGTTGCTGTTTGACGCTGCAGGTATTTAATAAACTCAGAGGAAAGACTCTTGAACAGCTGGAAGCAACAAACTGAACTCTAGCTGCTGTGTTGATAAAACGATGACTACACATACTTTCTCTTTCACTGGGTGCCACGGTGGCATTCACTGAAAGTTGGAAATTGGAGCTTCAGTGAATAAACTTCAGATCTCAGATGCCGATAAGACTCGGGCCTTTCATGGAGGCGCCTCTGACTTTGTGTTTACGTGAAACTGAACCATGTGGAGGCTTTTTGTGTGCCATTCTTGTGCGATCTGCATTGATTCCATCTAATCCTGTGGAACACGGAGTTCACAGGTAGCCAGACTAGTAGAACAACAACTCATTCATTGGTCGGGGTTTTTACAGGCCGACAACTGACACAAATAACTGATTTTTTTTCTTTTTATTATCAGGCGACTTCATTTATTGATTGCTGTCTGGATTTAAACAGACTGTCAACAAATATAACAAAAAGTGCTTGTGGAATACTTTGCATATTCTAGCTTAGAGCTACTTGTACACATGCCTTAGAAACAAAGCCAAGCTAATATTCACTTGTGTGCTATTAGCTTGGCAGTGGTGGATGTTTCTCTATTTTCTTTATTTGCTAAACCGAAAGTAAGATAATTAAAGTGATAGAATACAAATGCTGATAAAAAGAGAAACATTTTTGCTGTGGTAAATTTGTCTCCGCGCAGCTGCTCCACTCTGTAAATATGTGTTTATAGGTTCGTCTCCTCTCCAAAAAATCCACTTGGCAGATGCACTATTGGATGCAGCTGAATTTTATAATCCACTAGGCGCAGTAGCAGACAGGCGAAGTTGCTTTCCAGCTGTCATTTGTAGATATGATTAACTGCTTTTAAATAGAAGGTCTACTGAGCTGGGAGCAGGAGATGATGGCATCCGAAGCATGACTTGGATTTTAGAGGCCACATACGGTCTCTGTTACCTGTGGTGAAACTGCAAGATCTTATCAGCCATTTACCAAAATGATCCCACTTCAAGAGAAATGACTTAGAAGTTGAGTCCAGTTCATTCAGTTTATTTGGCAGTGAGGCACTTTTCCTGCTTATCGTGCACTGACCTACAGTATTTAATTGGCTTTAATCGCTGCAGAGCTGCAACGAGTAGCTGATTAATACTTTAATACAGAAAATGTCACACTGCTGGCTAAAGCTTCCTGATAGTGATGATTTAATGTTACTCTTTGCTGTATTTAATTGAAAACTTCATACTTCGTCTTCTAGATTTGTTGGTTAAATGAAATAACCTTTAAGAGTCTATCATCTTGGGCTTTCTGTGGGAACTAAGAATGTACAATTGTTAATGTTAATACTGACAGCACAGTTGTTTGTCATCGTTATTCATTTATTTTTAGGAACAGAGCACAACTCTCACTTCTATGTTGTGCTGCTTTAATGCTAATGTGCATGTCTTTGCATCTTTTCTGAAGTTTATCTCCCAGAAGCAAAATAGAAATAAAATTGTACCAAAACTTGTCACCCAAAGTGAAATCAACAGAGCTGCTTTCACTTTTATTTTGTGCAATACGGTGATGTATGCATTATTTTGCGTTGCTTTCTGGGTCTCTGAGTCGTCGCTGGACAATGATGACGATTCAGTGACATTAGCGATTATTCTTTTTGGCCTTGATGCCGTCATTCCGCAGTTTGTGCTGTTTTTTCAACGTTTCTTTGCTACCCAGACACAAGTGCCATCTCGACTGCTTCTTGGTATCTGGCTGTTAGTCGAAGAAGCACCTGATTTGATATGCAGCAGAGCATGCATTTTGCATGTTGGTGTCACCATTGGTTGTGTTCATTTAGCTGCTGGGAGCCAAAATAATGATTGAGATTAATATTGGATTAAATGTGCTGGCCCACAACGATTTATCAAGGAAATAATACTCCGAGCCCTGAATCACTGTCATAAATATCACTTTGACTGTATGTAATATGTTTTGCATTTACTCAGGTCTGAATTGACAATTGTGACCAGTGTAATGCTCAGCTGATAGTTGTTGTGTAGAAGTTATTTATTCTGCCAAAAAAGAAAGAACTGTACCACATTCCCAGCTATAACTACAGCTAGTATTAGATGAATGAGTGTTTTCGGGTTCATAAATGTGAAATATTTTTTTCGTTTTTCTAAGAATCTATTGTTGTTATGAATATTTTTGCACATGTAACTGAAATGGCTTCGTAACTCTTCCTAAATCTAACTGCTAACCTTATTCATTTGTTAACTTTTAAGGTGGGACCATCAGCAGAGCTCGCTCAAGCTGTGGAAAAGTTCTCGTTACATCCGGATCCCGCAGTCAGGCAAGTGTTTATGGCCGACAGAGTGATCAACCCGTCAGTAGGCGTGCACAAAGGAATAAAGTATGCCAGTTGGTCTCCGTTAGGTTGTGACTCTAGTGGACGCTGTCTGCTCGCCTGCCTCACACTCGACCAGAGACTTACAATTTATAACAGCCACAAGCGTCTTGAGTGGAACGCGTTAGTCGATCTCACCAAAAAGTACAGCGAGAGGCTAAAAGAGCGAGCCTACGCCAGAAAAGACAACAAGCCGCCGCAGGCAAACCTCCTGGACTTGGACGAGCTGCAGCGGCGTTTCCGTATGCAGACGCCGATAAGGATGGAGTGGTCGAGCATTTACACAATCAAACAGGTTCAGCAGGACAACACGTGTTTGGACGTGGAGATGGTTCTCCTCGCTGTGTTGATGGAAAACGGCGACCTTGTTTTGTGGAAGTTCGTGCTGCCCTTCACAAATGGGGCAGATGTTTTGTTTTATGACATTATAGAATCAGGGGTGAGCAGACCCAGCGACTTGGCGTGGTGGGAGTACGAGAACGCAGATCGACGGATGAGCGGCCTGATCATCGGCAGCGAGGTGGGACCCGTCAAGATCATGCCGGTCAGTCTGTCGGGAGTGAAGGGCTACTTCACCCTCCGACACCCCGTCATCCTCTGGAAGGAGTGCGACGAGATCGCCGTGGAAAACATCAAATGCGTCCCGATGATCCACCCGATCCACAAATCCAGCTGCAGCCTCATCGTGGCTTCACGCGGCTGCTACGTCTTCTGGTGTTTGCTCATGATCTCACCAGCCGGACTGAATGTGCACAACTCCCATGTGGCTGGGCTGCACTCGCTTCCTGTGGTCTCGCTGGCGGTCAGTCAGCACGGCGTTGCAGTGTACACGTGCTCCATAGACGGGTGGATAAAGAAGCTGACGCCGACATTCACTGAGAACACTTTGATTTTCAAACAGGAGGACATGTTGCGACCTGAGAACCTCGCCGGCAGGAGGATTCACGGGATCGCAGTGAGCCACAACGGAGCGTACATCGCAACCGTCAGCACGCAAGGTATGGTTGGTAACTTTCATCCAATTAACAGGACTTACCAGGTTCACTTTGTGACCCTGAAAACGCCAGAAGCTGCAGCAGCGCTACTGCTCAAGTCCCCCTCGCAGAACTTGTATAAGATGGCCGACCTGCTGGACCTGGTGAGGTGGCAGATTCTGAGAACCAAATGCATCCCTGCGTCGCTGCAGGAGGAGCTCGATCAGAAGATCCAGGAGGCGGATTCGCCCTACTTGTGGCGGTTCAAGCTCTTCCTGGTGCGTATACTTCACCAGTCGCTACAGATGCCTCACGTGGAATACAGCTGGAAACCTACGCACGAGGAGAGCAAAGTGTTCGTAAGAGACGAGGAAGAGGAGGACAGAGAAGGCGACGAAGATGCTGTGAAGGAGGAGGGCGAGGGTGGTGTTAAAGAGGAGAACCAGGAGGAGCAGAGGGCGGAGGTGCAGGCCTGGATCAACGCTGTGGAGACCCACCTGATGAGAGAGAACATCAAGAAGGTGTTGGGGGTCGTGTACCTCAACACCTGGCTGGCGCAGAACATCAGCATCCCCACCTGTGGCCTGGTGGACTATCTCTCCAGAGACACCGGCGACAGAGCATCAGAGGTAACACTCACCTGATAATTCCTCACTTCACTGTCCTGATCTGTTTGGTACAAAGTTGACTTGGTGTTTTGCTCTGTTAGCAAATCCAGAAGTGATATTGAGATGATCCACGGGGCACTTTTCCTTGTTCTTCGATGTTTTATATTGTCGATCTGCATTTATCAAGAAGGTTGCAAATGGCAGTCAGCATTTGTGAACACCACTTCATGTCTGAAGTTGTTTCTAATTACCAGCTGGTACTATTAATTTACTGACCAACAGGAAAAACAAGACGAACATTGACACCATCGGCTTTGCACACACTGCTGCTTTGATTTCTCATCCATACTGAAGCTCTTTTTAAACTAGCGGTCACCAAGTTGTAGTTGGTTGCCCCCATTTTTGACGCAAATGTCTTGTTTTGTCTACAACCCAAATATATTTAGTTTACTGTCATAGAGGAGGACGTTTTAATTGGTTGCCCCAAATAGTTTGTGGTTGTACACCAGCAAAGTGTTGGCGCCACTCTGGAACCAGTTTTGCTGCTCGAAAGCAGCTTCTTTGGCTGTCGACACATGAAATAGTGGTTCAACATTCTGCACCGTCTCCAAACTGTGTTGGAGAAAAAGGGGAGATCTTTGTTGCTCTTTTTTATGGTTTCAACTAGTGATTATTTTCATTGTCAATAAATCTGTGGATTGTTTAAATTTTGAAATGGTGAAAAATGTCTATCAGAGTTTCCTAAAACCCTAAAGTATGTCCTCAAATGTCTTGTTTTGTCCACAGTCCAAATATGTTCAGTTTACTGTCAAAGAGGAGGAAGTTTTAGCTGGTTGCCCCCGTTTTTGATGCAAATAGTTTGTGGTTGTACACCAGTAAAGTGTTGGCGCCACTCTGGAACCAGTTTTGTTGCTCAAAAGTAGCTTCTTTGGCTGTCGACACACGAAAAACTGGTTCAAGATCCGGCACCATCTCCAAACTGTATCAGTGGAAAAGGGCTAACTAGTGCTGTCTCCTCTGCTGCCACGAGATGAGTTGGAAATGAATTTGGTGTTGCGTTTGCCTTCACTTACACCCTCTTGTTCTGTCTGTGCATCGTCAGGTCCTGATTGGCCACATCAAGAAGAAGATGAACAAGCAGACGTTCTCGGAGCGCTGCAGCTTGTGTCAGACTGTGCTGCCCTTCACAGACCACAAACAGGCCACCTGTGAAAACGGACACATGTGGCTCAGGTACGCTCGTCATTCCTGAACAACTTTGAAAAGCTCAAACGTCTAAAGATGCTTTTATTAGCTTTAGCCTTGCAGGAAGCCCAGGTCAGAACCCGACAATCAGGACATGAGTTGAATCTTAATGCCTTCTTTGACGGTTTATTTATCTTCACGGAGCAGTAATCAAGCCTCCCACCTTCTGATATTTACTCATGCACCACTCTCATCCTCTCATAAATATCATCTTTCTCCTGCCTTGTCTCTCCTGCCTTGTCTCTCCTGCTTTAGCGTGGAGCCTCTGGTGGGCACTGAGAGGGAAATCTGCCCGTCAGCTGCAGCTCGATGCTGTTTCTGCTCCACTTTTCTATTGTGTGTCTATGGGTGTGTGTGTGTCCCTGCCAGCCAGCTCTCTAATGTATTTCTCCCGGTCTCCTCCAGGTGTGTGTTGTCATACCAGGCCTGCCAGACGCTGACGTTCAGACGGTGCCTCCTGCTGGATAGCATCGCCAGACTGCCAGAGCCTGAGGGTAAGCGCCACTTCCCATCTCCCTCCACCTCCATTTCACAGTCACACTCCCGATCAGCCATCTCCTCCTGTCACCTTCAACGTCAGCCTTCATCCCACTCTGCCGCTCAGATCAGCGCTCGACATGTCGGATGCTGAGCCGCTTGAAAACTTAATAAACGAGAATGATCGTTGAAATTAGCCGAGTTTATTTTCTTTTCTTTTTTTTCTAATTTATCTGAAAGTCCAGAGTTGAGTCTCTGGTCACAAAGCTCAGTCTTTGCCGAGACTTGAAATGTGTGTCACTTCTGTCTCATTATACCAACATTCTGGATGAACGGCAGACTTCCAGTTTTCACTGTAGCTGGGGAATTATGAGTACTGGTGCAGGATTAAATGATCTGTGTATGACTTCATTCAGTTTGGTCCAGCGTAGCTCAGTAGGGAGGCGTGCATGTGCATTTACAGGCGCTAAAGCAAACTCTCTAGAGGCAACACAGCAATTAACAGAGCAGTTTTTTTGTCATATTTGCTTTTTTCTTGTCAGTAAGTGCATAATTTCATGTGTTCGTGATCTGAGAAGGTTGAAATGGGCGTGTGATCTGTTTTTGGGAGTATTCTGACTTCTTAAATGATCATCTGGATTTGTAAAACCTGTTTTGCTGAGCTGGATGAAGGAAGCGGATTTCTGTGCTGCGTATAACTGGGTTTCTAACTAGTACGTGCCAGACAAAGAGCGCAAACAGAAACGCAGGTGTTGGAGAGAGCTGCTGGATGGAAACGAAGACAAATGTCTGAATATGTATATAATGCATGGAAACATGTTGTCTGGTGTGTTTGCAGGTCGTGAAAAATCTCAAAGTAATTAATTCAGTTTCCTGAAAAAGGCCTCAAAAAGTACTAAAAGGTCTTAAAGGTAGTTTTAAAAAGTCCTAAATAGTATCTCTTGTTTGATTTACAATATACTTATTTCTGGTGAAGCTTTAATTGAAATGAACTAGTATTTTTTTGATTGGTTAATCAATCTATCCATCGTATGCAAGCAGGCATTTATTTCAAGAACTACCATTTGAAATTAGGGATGTATGTCCAGACAAGCTGAAAGTATTGTAAGTGACTGGAGGCAACGCTCCTGGTTTTCCATCATATTATTACACTTTGGCCACAGCAGGTATTAAGTCAACAGAAACCTGGGAGGAACGGCTCCTCTTGTAGCTCCTCCTCCTCTGTCTTTAGCCCCGCCCACCAGGCAAGCACAGACTTATGCACACGCCTTAAACATGCAAAAAAAAAACGGTCAAACTAAACATCAAGATTCACTTGTAGCTTCACTCAGGCTTTGAACACTGAGTGAAAGTCGGTTTTAACCATCAAAACATTCAAAAGTTACTCCCAATGTGATCTAGGTTGCTCTTTGTGAGGGCTGCAGCTAGTGCTCGTTACCAATGTCGATTATTTGGTTTATAAAGTGTTTGAAAATGTCTATCAGAGTTCCCTAAGGCCCAAGATGACGTCTTCAAATGTCTTGTTTTGTCCATGACCCAAAGATACTCAGTGTAGTGTCATAGAGGAGGAAAGAAACCAGGAAATAGTCAAATTTAAGAAGCTAGTATCAGAGAATTTAGACTTTTTTTTTCTGTCTAACCTCATCTGGGTAAAAAGATCTGTGATTGGCACGGAGCTACATTTTCTAAAATCTGAAAACAACACAAAGAGGAGGTGCAGAAGTCTAGTTTCCTCTTAGACCAGCTGAATTACAACATCCTGAACAGTATGATGCTTAAACGTGCTTCCTACCTTGGCGTTAAATTGCATAGTTTTAAAAAGGTCTTCAAAAGTCTGCAGAAGTGCACAAAGCCGGTTTGTCTCAGTGCCGGTAACAGGACAGGCTGTCACAGATGATTGATGAATGTTTGCTGCAGATCCAACCCGATCGATCAGATTTGTCGGTAGTTTCCGTGGTCATTTTGACCAATTCTTCACTGTTTCATTGTTGGATGTGGAAACTAGCATGAATCACTTCAACTTAAATGTAGAAAACAACAACATCTGACATGTTTTCCGCATTGTCTTGACCGCATTATCATAATGGGGCAAAATGGGGTGCCACACTGACACCAATAGTTTGCTAAACTCATATTATAATGAGATATGGAGGAGCTGCATGGTGGCAGCTGTGGTTCCTGCAGTGGTTAGAGTTGGGAAGAGGTAAAAACATGGTATTGTTATCAGTGTTTGAGGATTTGGCTTCATCTGGCTGCTACATGCATCTCAGGTCTTTATCGGTGTTGCCTGAGTGCCTGAGGCTGGTTTCGCCTGGTCGTTCCAGCCGATCTGAGCTAAAGACTGACGGCTCTGTGAAGGTTTGGCATCTGTCAAAATCAGCATCATCCCACCGCCTGGCTAAAAACATCGAACAGAAGTTTGCATTCTTCTACGTTCTCCTTCAAAGGCAGTTATTATTAAGAGAGAAAACATTTGCAGACATGGAATATTTCACTCTGACTTCGTCTGTCAGTAAAAGTTCAGACTTTTGGACTTTCAAAGAGTGTCTGCAGGGTTGAAGTTTTGGGACTGTTTAGGTGTTTCAGTGTTAGAAAGAAAAGTAGAACTTTCGGTTCTCTCTCAGGTTGCATCACTGATCCTCATGCTTTACAGTTTAATGATCATCATCCGTCATCATCAGCCTCACAGTGAATGTCCTCTCATTAATTACATCATTTATTAAACAATGATGTGTAGAATAAGTGCTATCATGACTTATAGTGAAACATGACTCAGACACTTCTTCAAGCTTGAGTCCATCATGTAAACAGTTCCCATCACATTTATGCATATTTAATCATTTCCTATTTAGAAATCCTGAATACAAGTGTTGTTTTCTGTCCCCGCAGATCCAGAGTGGATAAAGAAGATCCTGCAGGCGCCCTGCACGCTCTGCGACTCGCCGATGATCTAGGTCTGATCGATCGGAGAAACCTCAGGGCTTCCTCCCCCCGCGACCTTCAGAGCTCCCCGCTCTGACGCCGGGTCCAATTTTGTCAGACATCACTGCTAAAATATTTTTTATTTCATGTATTTTGTTTAAGTTTTTATTACTTTATATTGGTATCTTAAAAGTGCAAATAAAAGTCTTTGATTATTCGTCGGAACTCTTCTTTTTACTCGCGAGCGCTGCTTCCCCCCTGCCGCGGTTTTAAATGAATATTTTACTGAGGTAAAACATTTTGGAGTCAAACTTTACAGATTTCTTTATTTTTCCCCCTCTCTAAAATTAATTCCCAGTCAGACACAGTGTTTGCACAAGGGTGCACAGAAACAAAGTTTAAAACGTGGTTATATGTGGAGGTTTTTATTATTCAGTAGGACTTCAGGGCACCATAAATAAGCTCCCTCATTTTCCTCATGTTGACTATATTTCCGAACCTTTGGTGTAGTTTTTATTGCAAGTAAGTGGAACTTACTCTGCTAGTCCTATTTTAGTGGGGGGATTTTTTTTTTCTTCTTGTTCTTTTTTTTTTTTGAGTGCAACAAATAATACACTCTGAATAATACATACTCTGGAAAAAACTCAACATACCTACTTTAATTGGCACTGTAAAACAATTTCCAAGCTCTGGGAAGAAGAGGAGCTGGAGGAAGATGAGGAGGAGGAGGGTGGTGGTGCTCAGTCATTCTCTCAGATGAGGACTTCCGCTAATGTAAACGCAGAAGAGAAGAAGCGGCGAGGCAGATGAGATGAGCAAGAAGGCAGGAAGAAAGCGGAAAGTGTGCTTAAAAACCCGGCGCGTCCGTCCCGCGGGAGCCGCTTGTAATGAGATTCAGCAGTAATGAGGGACAGAACATGGAGCCAGATGTGATTCTAATTCTAATCAAGGAGGAGAGGGCGGCGGTGATGTTGGAGGGGGGGGGGGGTTAGAGAGCATATTGTTAAATACAATTAACCCTTTTTTCATATTTGCAGAGAACAAGGGGCTGCAGGGAGGGGTTACAGCGGCCCGCCCCTCGGCCTCGGCTCCTTGTTCTGGAGACATGGAGGTCGGCGGCCGCTGATCAAAGAGGCAGCTGGACCTGAGAGACCGGGCCGGCAGCAGAGCCTCCATCCCCACCGCGGCCTCTCATCCCTTTACATCCCCCCCATCGGCCCGGCAGAGGCGGGGTGGGGTCTGCCCTCCCTCCGGTGTCACTGGAGATGATAGCCTGCCCCGGGGCGAGGAGAGAGGAGGCAGCTCGGCTCCAAACACTCAGGAGCCTCATGAAAGGGAACCTTTTTTACTTTATGCTTTTTAAAGCCATATTCCTCAGTTCAGTGGTGGCATTTATTGGCCCAAGACTCACTGAAGATTCAGTCTGTTTGTGGAAGAGGGTTTTTTTTTTTCTTCTTTTTCTAGAAAGTGAATCATTTATCACATTATCCTGTGCTTTGCTGCAGGAAACGTCTCGGACTGGTGGTGTGATTAGTTTAGTGTTAAAGCTGCATAAGCCGGCGCCTTTAAACGATACAGTAGCCTGCAGTGGTGAAGTCTTTAACTGGATTTACTTCAACTTCTGCTCCATCAGCTGCTAATCTGCACAAAATCCACACATCCTGACTAAACAAACCAGCAAAAATGTAAAGAATTAAGCCGCTATTTGGAAAATAACACAACTAAATCACTAACTACATCAACTTTATACATCAGACAGACGACTAGTAATAATAACAAGAGGAGCCACGCAAAAGTGCACAACTATCCATAAATAAAACAAAGATAGTAAGACACAAACAGTACAATCAGTGATACCGTTTGGTAGTTTGCTCTGTTTTACTTTGTTCTAAATCCTTATGTTACTGTATATTTCAAAAGGACAGTCATGATCTTGCTATAATAAATCAATACGCCTAAAAATAGAAATGAAAACAAGTAAAAGTGAAAAGAGAGCCATGCATGTCGCTCTGTTCTGCATGTCTATAATACGATGATGAAAACAGTTAATCAAGGCAAGACGACGTGCAAAAATATAGTTTTTTCATGCATTTGTCAACTGTAAGGTTTTATTTTGCTTTGGTAATATGCTATAGATTCACATTCAGGTGTTTATTTTACTTACATTCTGCATATTAGACATTTGCGTAAATTAGTGCATATTTAATGAGGTAGTTCCTTGTTTGCGTATTTAAATGTAACATGTCAGAAAACTAGGAATACAAAAAACTAACTTATGAAACGATGGTGTTTCTTTGTCAGATCTGTTGGTTAAAACTGGACTTTTAAATGGTGATTTCAAATAGAAATGTACAGGATACATAGCTATAAAGACCGTTTTTTTCCCCCTCTCTCACTCTCTGACCCAGAAATCTGCACTTCAGTCGCACTTCTATGCACCAAACTTTCCGGTTTTATTCCTGTCTATATTCTGAAGGTTTTTTTTTTCCCCCGGGGGTTTTTTCTTTTTTCTTTCTTGTTTTGCTTTTTGGACCTTTTTTTTCTTAAAACCTTGTTGAATTTGGTTTTTTTTTTCTTCTCCTTGCTGCTGACAGTATTTTTCTGACTTGTGGAGTGATGAAAATAGAAATCCAAATTGTCCTCTGTGCTTCTAATACGTCAACAAAATGAAACAAGAAATTTGGTTTATGTAATGGTCATATTTCTGCTCTTGATTTTATGCAAATTTTAAAGGCATTCCTCATTTGCATACTTAAATATTGATATTTAGAAAGTGTGTATTAGTAAAAAAAAATTCTCTCAATGTAAGTAATCAAATGGGGCAGTTTCATGGTGAGATCTTTTAGTTTTTATCTTGAATAAAAGTAAAATGGGCATTACTGGTCCTTTACAAGAGTGTAACCACTAGCTTTAGTGTTTGGTTTTTACTTTACATGTGCAAAAAACTGCAAAAATAATTGGACTAAAATTGTATATCTAAAACTTATCGATGACTTTTAAGTCTGACAAAACAGTAGGTTGTCCATAAAATCTGCTTTTCCGGCTTTTTAAACCCCATGTCATGCTCTAACTCATCGGATACTTTATTTTTCTGCACTCTGCTTCTGATGCCTTTCATGTTTTCATAGGTTTTTATGTCAAAAACACATAAAAGAAAAGGCAGTTTTTAAAAACTTTTTGATATGAGGGATGCAGTTCCACCACTCCTATAACAGCTATCTTAACATTTATCAGTTTGGCTCATCAGAATAAAAATTACAGATATCAACAACATCACTTGGATCATTCTAACTTGTTCAAACTCAATTTAAGATGTCTCAAATGGGCAATGTAGGTTTCTTAAATTGAGGAAAATTAGAGCTATATTGAACCTGAATTAGTCAGACTAGTCAGGATTAAACTGTGGATATCTGAAACCGGAATTATAGCTAGCTTGTTGATATCCGCAATTTAAATTCGCAGCTGAACGGTGAAACAAAAAAAAGGTACTGCATATGGTTGGAAAAACAACATCGTGGAGATGTTCTTTTTGGCTGGAAAGAATTGAACTACAGATATCTGCAAAATTCGTAGCTAAATACTAAATCGATTAGCCATAACACTGCTCGCAGTAGTCAAACATCTCCAAGTGCACTGAGCATCTCTGTTTTTTCAACTTACAAGCAAAACACATTATCTTAACCTTCAACAAATAGTTTAACCATCGTCTAATTTGATAAAGACACAAAATTAGCTGCCATGTTAGAGAAAAAGCAGCATCTTTTTCACGCAAAGAATCTAAAATTAGCCAGAAAATCCTCCTGATTGTGCCAAAAATACACAACTCTAAGCTCACTTATGTTTGTTTTTTTAATGTGCACTTCATTGTAACTCCTACAGCTTAATTACAGAGGTGCCTAATTGAATAGAGATCATAACTAACAGCCCTGTAATTAGCTTTTCTTCGGTCCTGGCTGCAGCAGGTTTGCAGTGTTTCATGGCTGTCAGGTTTCTTTTTTTTTTTTTTTTTTCCACCCCCAGCCTGGGGATTTGGTGCTCGGTGTGTTGTTTGTCAAGTGGAAGTGGCTCCTCAGGTTGTAATGTTCCTGTCACTGATAGGTGGAGACCAGACCTGTTAGAGGTTAGCTGTGTTTGGTTGATCCTCCTCCCGCTTTAATATAATAATCCGTCAAAGAGCATCTCCACTAGTAATTACCTGCTTCCCCTCCCTTTCTCTCCCACTGTCTTTGCTCTCAAGACTTCAAACAGGGGAATTTTTCTCTTTGCATACAATATTTATATCCTTTATGTCAGTGGCTGGAAGGCATAAAACATTCATGGCACCTTTTCACACCTTAATTTCATGTGATATTCCTTTTGTTTTGTTTAGACTAGATTTCGAACGTGACGTGTCCCACCGTATTCTCTCGAGGGTATCGATTCATTTTGTTGCTTCGGAATATTCCAATTTAGGCTGTAAAACGTGGCAGCTGCTTCGCCGCCTCAGACATGTGACTGCATCACCTGGTGGGATCACTACAGTGTGTGTGTGTTTTTTTTTAGGGCTGACAGCTCTTACGAGTCTCCTGTTGATTCTTTTCGCGTTTTGTCACATTTCTGAGAAGTGTTCGGGAGCAGCCTATAATGGGGTTGGGCAGGTTTGTAGTATACAGTGGAGCGTTCCCTTTACGTTGCACGTTGTATTGGGGAGCTGTGGGCAAATAACTGAGCAGGATTTCTGTGTTGAAATACGTTTTTTAAATGATTTTTTGTATGGATGTGATGAAGTACCTTGTTGGTGAGGTTTTTATTTGGGTATTAGGGTATTTCCAGTATCACAATACTTCAGTGAGGGGTGTTGCAATAAACTTCTATGGATGATAACCATGAAATATTGATATCATGTTAACAATACAGCTATGATAATGCTGTAAAGGTTCCAGCAAGAGAAACTATGTGGTTGACACCCCAACATGGGAGGAACGTAGTTATAGCTACAGACTCTCCATCTTCCTATGCTCAGATTTTCAATGTAATTTATTTGCCAGATAAAGAGACAAAACACATAATAGAGTTAAAGATTACATTGATATTGCAGTACTATCATTATTAATTTCTTTGGCTGCAATCATCGTGTATTAAAAATCTGAATCATGACAGCCCTAACTTCAAGTAAAATCTACATAGTTTGAGGTTGATTTTATTTAGAAACCAATGTTAT